CGGTTAATGGTGGAAAAAATAAATATGCTTGGGTCAAACTAGGAGCAGGGGGTAAATTAGTAGAATTAAAAATAAATCAATTAGATTTAGAAGGAAAACTTTTCTCTACCAAAACCAGACCTCAAACCACCTCCGATAATTCAACCTTATTCTTCACGGTAGCAGTAATTTCAGTAATCTTTATTCTCCTATTGGGTATTATTATTTATTTGGAAAGACGAAAGAACAAAAAAAAAAAAAAATGGAACCGTAGCTAAGTGGTTAAGGCCGGAGTCTGCAAAACTCCTATTCGTCGGTTCGAATCCGACCGGTTCCTCCAAAAATAATTTTTAATTGGTTAGTAGAAATGCAGAATAAATTATATACAATTACATTACTAAAAGGGAAAAATGACTAACACCCTAAAAATGGCAGTTTGACCAACGGAAAAGCAAAACGATACTTTGAAGTTGTTTGTAGCATTGAATAAACTAAGTTTTATTCAGCGTAGTATCGAAAAGTTTCTGGAAAAATGAACTAAAAAAAGACTAAGCAAGCTAGAAAACTTTCAACAACTTGAAAAACGAGGAAAAATAATTAATTTTTCCCGCTGAACCAATCGGTTTGTGGCAGTGGGAGTTAGTATTCTGATATTGAGTGGTTATCCGAAAATAGGAGGAGGAATTGGTTTACTTTGTCCTCTGGTTGAGGCCTTTTGCTTTGGTTTTCACTTAGAAAACGAAGCAAAAAAACAAGAATGAGGAGGCTTTGTGCAAGATTGCGAGGGGTTAGGAGATAATTTAGATGCATTAAATTTGGCAATCGAATCTCTCAAAAACTCCTTAACTGGAAAATTAAAGTTAGCCAATTATCTGAAAGAAATCGGGGAAAAAATATACGAATTTTTAAAGGAATACGACAAAAATCGGGATGGAAGAATCGATGTTCCTGAACTAAAAATAGATAAATTTGCTTGAAACTTGAAAAAAGAATTACGAGGAGGAAATGTTAGAATAAATAAAAAAACAATTTCTAACTCGAAAAAAGGAAAGAAGAAAATTTTAAAAGAAATTGTATGACTAGTGCGAAATTTGCAGACCGAACTGATTAATTATCACTTATAGACTAATGTTAAAATAAAAATTTTTATATTAAAAAACAACTAGAATTAATTAGAATTATGGCAATAAATAATAAATTAACTAACGAATGAAGCAACATGGGAACTAGCAAATTCCAATTGCTTTTTTTATAAACATAAATAAACCCAATTGCGGCTACCGAATATTGGAGGAAAAGCACCGGAATATTTTCTCCTCAATGATAATGAGCCAGAATAAAAGTAAAATAGGAGAAAAAATAAGCCAGAGGATTTTTTTTGCCAAAGAGGGAAAAGATTAAATACCGAAAAATGCATTCTTCTACCAAAGGAGCTAAAATACACATACCCACTAATACTCAAATTAACTTTCCGAATTTAATATCCGTAATAACCTCAATTGAAGTATTTATTATGGATGACTTATGCGGAAGACTGGTGGAAGAAATCATCAGCCATCAGCAAAATTTAAGGATAAAATGAAAAAGGGCAAAAAAACCCAAAGAAAAAACCACCTGGCGGAGGATTTGTTTTTTTTGCTGGCGAAGCGAATAACAAATCTTTTTCTTTTCCTGCTTTCAGACCCAACCAACTACTAAGAAACAGACCAAAGCCGAGCGTATTGCCCAAACACTTTTACTTTTAACTCAGTAGTTTAAGAATTCCATAAATTAATTTAATATTTTCATGGCGAGCATTTTTTTCCTCTTCTAAACTAGAATAATTTAGTATGTAAGTTTGGATATCAGAAAGTAAGGATTTAAAAGCAGTGGTTAATTTAGTAAACATGGTAAAGATAATAAAATCACTCGCTTGGGATTAAACTATTTTCTTGGTCTTTTTCGTGATTTATTGGT